AGGGGTGGGGGACCCTTCGTCTGTTTCAAGTGGGACTTAGTTTAAAAATAATTGGACTATTTCAAGATTTGTTTATAGAAAGCATTGGGGGGCTTCACCAAAACTTACTTTTTTGGAGGCCAAATTTGAATTGGCTGCTTGTTAAATGGTCTTTTCGTTACAGTAGCCCCCAGAGATATTGATTGCAACCGAGGACTCCTTGTGCCTGGGCTCTGTACAGACCTGAAATGAGTCAGTGTCTGCCCCAAAGAGCTTACAATGGAACTCCCAGAGCTTGCAATTGATTATACGGGGGGATCCCCCTGGAAATCAATGGGGCTTAGTGCCGGGGTCTGTCCATACACTCAACTGCGGGATTGGAGCCTCAGTTAACCCTTCGTCCTGCCTCAGTGCTGAGAACTTGCAGGATGGCGTCTTACCCCTGCTGGCGAAGGAGTGAAACTGACCAGTGCAGAGGCACTGTGTACGTTCCTACCGGCCCTCACTACCGCAGCGTTTGGGCACTTTTCAGTCCATGCCATAAGCAAGGTGACTCCCATCTGTCCCCTGCGGTTCATTCTCTCACCAGGGAGGAGCGCTGTGTGTGCAGTGGAGGTGTTGGTTTTGGTAGGGTGTGTTTTTATATGCCTGTGCTGTGCTGTGTTCTAGTGGACAAGGCTGGTCAGAGGAGGGCACATAGCACGAGGAGCAGGAGATGGGGAAGTTCAAGATGATCCTTAGATCCTGCGCCAGGCAGTTCCACCGTCTTGGACGGGTCCCCAAAGAATTTCTGTCTCTCTCACAGACGAGCTTCACCTGGGTGGTAGAAAGTGCCATGGGACTGGAGGACTGGGGCTGTCAGCCACAATCCCCATCCCAGAGCTTTCGGCTCTAGGGGCCCAGGCCTTGAAGAGAAAGAACGAGACTCTAAGATAAGACAGGCCAAAAAAGGGAACAAATTATTGGTGTTGGGCCAAGTGAATTAGAGGCTGGTGGTGCAGAGAAGATTCCTCCATTGCTGTCTGGGGCTGCCCCCAGTTCATGTAATTGATTAGCAGAGACTCACAAGTCTTCCACGACCTCCAGAAGAAGG